TTTAATTAATTATATACAATCTGCGGTGTACGTACACCTCAATAATAATTTATTTTATACTTTTCTTCTTATTAAATAGTCTTTTTTATTCCTCTTTTATTTATATTTGCTGTATATATATTTATAAACACTGCAGCAGCAGCAGCAGCTGCAGCAGCAGATATGGTCCCCCTTCACGGTCTTTCAGCAGCAGCTAAGCGAAGGGATACTACAGCTGCAGCAGCAGCAGCAGCAGCAGCAGCAGCGGGAACAGCAGCAACAGCAGCAGCAGATAGTAATCCTATAGCGTATACACCATGTGTAACACGTAACAGAGCAAGATCTCTTGCAGCCGCAGCCGCAGCAGCAGCAGCAGCAGCAGCAAATGCAGCAGCAGCAACAGATCCAGCAGCAGCAGCAGCAGCAGCAGATGCTGCAGCAAATAGTAATAGCGAATCGTCAAACATTCCTATTTCAGAACCCCTAGCAGCAGCAGCAGCAGCAGCAGATGCTGCTGTTGCTGCAGCAGCAGCAGCAGATGGGTCAGAGTCTAGTGGCTCTGCAGCAGCAGATCCTTTAGGTCCAGCAGCTGCAACAACTATCCCTGCAGCACCAGCATCAACAGCAGCATCAACAGCAGCAGCAGCAGCAGCAGCAGCAGCAGCAGCAGTAGACAGCAGCAGGGCAGTTATATCTCCTTATTTGTTTGATAGTACAAGTAAGGAAGACAGGCAGCAGCTGCTGCAGCTGCTGCTGTCATCAGAGGTTAAGCAGCAGCAGCTGCTGCTGCCTCCTGTGTCAAGTACCGCATGCAGTAGCATGCAACAAGCAGCAGCAGCAGCAGCTGCTGCTGCTGCAGCAGAACCAACAGCAGCAGCAGCAGCAGCAGCAATAGCGAAGGAAACTCCAAAGTGTTCTTTCCCTCTGCCTGAGTTTGCGCAGCAAACTGCAGCAACAGAAACACTGCAGCGGCCAGTTGCTGCTGCTGCTGCTGCTGCATCTGCTGCTGCATCTGCTGCTGCAGCAGCAGCAGCAGCACTTGCAGATGCAGAAGCAAAAAAGGAGAGGCTAGCAGCAGATGATTCTGCTGCTGCATCTCCTGCAACAGCAGCAACAGCAGCAACACCTCCAACAACGCCAGCACCAACAGCAGCAGCTGCTGCAGCAGCAACAGCAGCAGCAGCAGCAGCAGCAGCAGAAGGAGCTGAGCTCGAAGCAGAATTCACCTATGCCTATGCATGCTTCCAGCAGCAGCGGCAGCTGCTGCTGCTGAGTGTGCAGCAGCAAATGCAGCAAGCATTAGATGAGCTGCAGCAGCTAGCAGCAGCAAAAGCAGCAGCAGATTCATTTGTTAATGTATGTTTGCTGCTGTTGCTGCTGTTGCTGTCTTCTTGTTCTTCTTTTCTTCCTCTTGTTTGCTGTTGCTGCTGCTGCTGTTGTTGCTGCTGCTGCTGCTGTTGCTGCTGCTGCTGCTGTTGCTGCTGCTGTTGGTTCTGTCTTACTCCTCCTATCAAGTGAATGTTGTTGTTCTGTGTATTGCTGCTACTTCTGCTGCTGCTGCTGCTGCTGCTGCTACTTGCACTTCTCTGCTGCTCCTGCTGCTGCTGCTGCTGCTTGTGCTGCGCTGCTACTGATGCTGCTGCTGCTTATTCTGCTGCTGTTTTTGCTGCTGTTGCTGCTGTTACACTGCAGGATCTACGCCAGGAGATAGCAGAGACCCGTGTGAAACGAAAGCAGCAGCAACTGCAGCAGCAGCAGCAGCAGCAGCAGCAGCAGCAGCAGCAGCAGCATCGTATATATTTTGATGATAGTCCTCCCTCTAGTGTACGATCTATTCATCTATCTTATCCATCAGATGTAGCTGTTGCTGCTGCTGCAGCAGCAGAAAAAGAAGCAGCAGCAGCACCACCACCACAACCAGCAACAGCAGAAGAAGAAGCAGCAACAGCAGCAGCAGCAGCAGCAGCAGCAGCAAGTAGTGACGAAGAACGTATAGGTAGTGTTGAGGATTTAATGACAAATTATTATAAACGTTTATTAGATACAATTGATTATACAGCTAAATATCCATCCAAGTCTGCTGCTGCTGCTGCTGCTGCTGCTGCTGCTGGGGATAATAATAATAGCAGCAACAGCAACAGCAGCAGCAGCAATAGTGATGCTGCTGCTGCTGCTGCTGCTGCCTATGGTTTATCAAGGGGTAATCTTCGTAGTCCTTCGCCATACTCTTGGCGTTACTTTGGCTTAGATGCAGCAGCAGATAACAGCAGCAGCAGCAGCAGCAGCAACAGCAGCAGCAGCAGCAGCAGCAGCAGCTCTGGTGGTGTTGCTGCTGTAGGAGGAGGAGGATCAGCAGCAGGTAATGGATATGGCAGTGTTTATCCTGATGCAGCAGCAACAGCAGCAACAACAGGAGCAGCAGCAACAGCAGCAGATGGTTTATCTAGTGCATTTTTAGCTGCTGCTGCTGCTGCTGCTGCTGCTGCTGCTGGACCTAGTGGTGGTACATCATCATCATCTC